TTTTCGGTTTTTTTCCCTTCTTTTTTTTTTTTTTGCCGCTAGTGTGCAATTAAATAGTGATGAGCTACTGTATCCATCCATCAAATAAGCACACATTATAAGTGTTTTCAGGTTTGACTCTCCCCACACTCTTGGTTATCAAAATCTGGATACGAGATTAGTGTTTTTCAGTAAGAAAAATATTCAGACAACGCGACCACATCCCTAGGATGTATGGTGTGATTGATTGAGTCAAATATTGTTAAAGGGGAAATTTTAAACAACCACTACCAAGTGGATATCATATCAGGAAAATAGACTGTACAAACACTGACTAATTAAAATTTCAGTGAAAGCTCTGGAAATTTAAGTTCTACCCCCTTCCCATGTGGGAGATGACCTTGCAAAATGTTTGATAAATTTGTTCATGGGGGAAAGAAAACCAGAGCTGATAGCATAACTTAAGCTATGAAACAGTTTCTCTCACTGGGATTAGGGCAGCAAAATGGTCACTTACATCTGCTTTTTCCAACTGTCCGCACCATCAAGTTTCTTGGAAGTTGGTTTTTTGGGTTGATTCCATCTGGTAGTCTGAACAATAGCTAAAATACTAACGGTTTAACTAGAGTGCCAGTATAAGGCCAACAGGGCAATGATCACTACCGGTAACATCAGGAAGAATGTATGAATCGTAAACCTTGTCAGCAATGGATTCTGAGACGAGGAAGTAGTCTAGCCGCCAACCTGTTTCGAAAACAATGACTAAATCATACTATACCACTAAATTGGGACAGATAACCTTTCAAATGAATAAGAATAGGAACTGGAAGTGGAAGAAAACATCGGATGTGAAATGTTGTATACCTTTATTTGTTTTGCGGCCACCATGTCGATAACCCCAGTAAGAATAGCCAACAACATCAGGATGTTGCTTTCTAAAGGTGTCCACAAATCCCCGGGATATGAAGTTTGTTCCAAAAGACTGCCTTTCTTCATTTGTAAACCCAGCACTCCTCTTATTCCCCTATAAATTGAAGCAACCAATATGAAAATAAATTACAAACATAACGTTTATCTACTTCAATTTGCAAGGAGCATCTGCAAGCAGTGCACGCACAGCTGTGACTACACTATATTTTTCCACAATTGACCAATGCATCCAGGCACGAAAGATTAAACAAAAAAACAAACCATGTATTTAATGGCATGACTCGTAACATCATAAACAAAAAGCCCATCAATCTTGGTGAAGCAGTTTGTTTTAGAGTGATAAAATTATGGGAAGAAATTGGAATTTTTGCTAACATAATAAAGCTTTTCAGAATACTTAATAATATTTAGATTGGAAATACTTGCCAGTGTCAGTTTAGCACTAGACAAATATAATCATCAGTATATCGTTTTTTTCTTCCCAAAAAAAAAAAGGAAAAAAATTTTGAAACACTCACGGTAGGGTCATGAATGTCTATCTCTTCATGTGCACAATTGAGATCACCTGTCAAAATGACAGGCTTTGACTTTTCCAGCTCCTGCATTATGCATAAGAAAAAAAAGTTAAGCATTGGGATCTGGCAATCAAAGGGCACAATGAAAATGTTTTATTTGAGAAAAAACATCTAGTCACCTAGTTGGCATGTTTAAAAACCTTTAAGGGAGATCAGATTCAGAGGACATATATATTCATGACCTAAGAAAGTGTAATTGGTTAAAAGCTGGAGAACATTGATAAGTTTTTCCTATTCCAATGAGTCAACTTTTAAAACTGGCCAAAGAAAAGACTAAACTTTAAAAAAAATTATGCACAGAATTTGCAAATAATGAATAATCTGTTCTTGTTAATCAAACCAAAAACTATCTTTGTGAAATAACTAATTTGATGCCACATTATCATGATGGCCATCAAATTCCAGAACTCAAGTCTAAGGATCCACATTCAATGTATAAATAGATTATAATCTTTAGTTCATTGATGTCACAAAGTTAATTATGCCAAGCACGAAAAAACTGTTTTTTTTGGAGACAACCCCTCCACTGTAGAATACAAGCCAGAAGTTCTTTAAAATCTTAAAAAGTAGATACTATACTGGAGAAAACATGTGGACAGAGAAGGGAGACAAAGTTAAAAATAAAAATAAAGGAAAAAGGAAAAAGAAAGAAAGAAAATTGAATAGCGATATACGCCAGGCTTACCTTCATGTAATTGCTAAGAGATTGATCCCATTCTTTAACCCTGTATGGCTAGTTAAAAGCAAGGAAGTCAAAAGGAAGAAACAAAAGAACTCTTCAAGAAAAAGGTAGCGAGAGATATAATAGAAGATGTTAAAGTCTAGTACCAGCCTTCTCAAGCCATCTCCAGAATTAGGAACATAGGCACTTAGCAGATAAAATGTATCAAATTCAGCCGTCACCAGACGACCTTCACTATCATGATCTGATATGCCCAGGCCATATCTGACTGAAAGTGGCTTTATCTGTTGACAGCTTCTATTATTTAAAACAATAAGAGCAAGGAAGGCTATCATATCAAAGAATCAAAAGATACTAAAATCCTTCTAAAAGGAATGTGCGTACCCGGGATATAATTGCTGTACCAGAATAGCCAAGTTTGGAAACACTGCATGTCCAGAAGCTATTCTCATATCCCTCTAAAAGAGAGTGTTTGATTGACTCAACATCTTTCTCCTGTTCCAAGATCAAAAAATTCACTCAATATATAGATAAAAATGGCAACCCTCAAATGCTTACTATCTTTTTACGAATCATATCCATACACACACATGCACACACTTGCAGGCATGCACATGTACAGTATCTAAAGACAATTCAGTACCATATGCATGTGAATCCCAATACAATCATGTGCTGGGCTAGTAAAAGAGAAAAATTTTCATGCTTAGTTTTGTGAGGTCAAAAGGAAAATATAATTTCACTTATCTACTGATATGGGATTTGTCATAAATCATACCTCAATGCGACTGCTAAGAGTCTAAGACTATGCTTCAGCCTTCAAATAAGACAAATAATTCAAAACTGAATAGAAAATATCACCTTATTTTAACCAAATTAAAAATGAATGCCATAGTTAAATTTAAGAAACAAAAAGCTAACATGCTATTGAAATATTATATCTTGCCTGCAGTTTAGTTTCCTGTAAGCACAATACATCAAAGTTTTCCCTTTTAGCAAGCTCAAGAACAGAGAACCCCTCTAACTTCAGCAGCGCTCTCAGCCCGTTCACATTCCAAGACATTAGTTTCATACATTTAGTATCTCCCATAAGGGATGGAGGCCTCATGATTCGTGGATTATAGGCTATCCACCCTTTCTGAGGCTTCTTGTGGGCAAAAATTGTCCATGGTTCACTTTGACTCATTGGAACATTAACTCCATCATTGGCGTCTTTGCCATCAATAACCAAAGATGCTTTCCTGATTGCTTGAGAAGGCTTCTTTTCTACCAACATTTACCAAAATAAGCATCTTAATTTAATTATTAGAAAAATTAAAACCCTCAAACGGATAACCTCAATCACATTTCAAGGGAAAGTAGAAAGCTCCTAAATGATTAGTGATAGCAAATGAGCATACTATAGCTGCAAGAAAGACACTTAAGGCACCTGAAACATTACCCTTGATTGAAAGCTTCTTTCCTTTCATGACAATTTTAGCATCAAGTTCAGCTGAAAATGTCTTAGTCTTTCCTGTCACTGAGATGCTTTGAGCAGAAATGGAGGAAAGTTGTTCATCTTCCAAATGAGAACTTTCACCTACATGCTCAAGGGATATCCATTGTTAGGAAATGAACAACTTACAATTGAACTCAAACAGGTTCTCAGGAACAAGAAAGAGAAGAAAGAAATCAGAAAACTGGTAGCAATCATTTTAATTATTAATGTTGATTTTCTTATCTTTCTCCATCTTAGCAGCTAAGAACCAAAGCTTAATAGAACACTGAAGGAAATAATTAAACTTGATCTCAAAATTAAATTTGCATACCATCTAATTGCTTATCCAAATAACTCTTCAAGGCAGATACAAGTTCACTCTTGCAACCTTTGGCAGGGAGGCCAGCATTCCTGAGAATTTAAAATCATAATATCAAAATCAAATTCATATGGACAAAAACAATCCTTGAGAGTAGTTTAGAGTGCAAAGCACTGCACGACAAACAAGGAACTAATCCAACTAGTTAAAGCAGTTACATGCATAATGTTTTATTGCACAGCTTCTTTTGTAGTTTATTCTCTTTATCATCAATGACCTTAAAGAATTTAGGATATGTGCACAGTGCACTACTTTTGTTCATGAAATGATACATTATAGCTAAAAACTAACGATAGGAGAACACAAACGACTAAAACAGAATCCATACATCTCTTTTTATGTATATCCTCAAAATTTGTACATACCGCAATGCAGCCTTGAGTTGTTGAACTGTCATTGAGTTGATTCTGCCAGGATCATTCATGATATCCTGAATTTCACACGCACTACATTTAAACCACATTCTTATAAAAGCATGAAAGCAGAAAATTTTTGATATGGCAATTAAAAGTGATGTCATCAACAACCTTAAAAACACCATCTCTGGAATCATGATTGGTACCCACCAAACCTTGTTCTCTATCATCATTCTTGCCCTGCTCAACCACTTTTCCTTTCCCGCCATTCCCCTACAATCCACCAAAACCCGAAACAATTAAAACCACACACCATCCTAAAACCTACAAAGTATTTAAAATCAACAGTGAGGTTAGTGGAAACAACCAAAGTAATCAACAACCTTAACTTCACCCTCATCAGAATTTAGGTCTGCAGTAGCTAATCCCTTGAGCTTCTTATCTGTCTTTCCCTCAACAGTTGATGAAGCCGACACGGATGAGTTTGAGAGGAGCCTCTTAGACCCCATTACTCCGACTGCCAAAGGGGAAAATGCCCTAGTTCTCAAACTCCTTGCTTTCACTGCAAAACTACACAGCATTTTCACTTTTAATCTCAATCTACTTACTTCAACAATGGGAATTTTTTTAAAAAATAAATTGAAAAATTCGGGAAATTTCTAAGAAATCATTGTAGTAGGAAAACTATGTAAAGAAAAGAAAAGGGCAGAACCTGGTAAAATTGATGAAATTGTTGAACCCTAATTGAAATGTCGAACACATTTATCGAATCGATCCTGAAGCTCTACAGAGATATACCACCATGGTAAGTGTTTACATGATTAATTTGGGAACGGGCATGTTTTTGGATAAAACTGGACTTATTATTATTATTATTATTATTTTAATACTTTATTATTATTATTAT